AAACCACCAATTAGCTGACTCACTGGAGACTAAACCCACCAATCAGACTCCACAGACGATTCCTGATGTGGTCAAGAAGGGAAAACCTGTGAGAGGATCTCTGGCTCCCTCTGTGGGAGCTGCTGCACCGCTGAACGGCTCATCGACTTCCTGTTGTGTTTCTGTGTCTGTCACAGGCCCACGGAGCTGTTTCGCAGCTGTAACATCCAGTCAGACCAGGGTGCCATGAATGACATCAAGCTGTGGTCTAATGGCACAATTAAGATGCCCTTCATGAACATCCCTGTGCTGGACATCAGGAAGTGTCAGCCCCACATGTGGAAGGCTGTGGCCTGCGCCCTGCAGATCAAACCCTGCCACAGCAGGTCCAGAGGCAGCGTCATATGCAAGTAGGTCTCCTCTCACCTCCACATGACTGTTGTTGTACTTCTCTCTGTTATATCTATAATGAATGTAGAGCTCTGTCATAATACAACCAATAAGAAATGAATGTCCTCAATGACTTAACCCCTCACCCTATCGCACCTGTGTCGAATAAAGATGGCGGCTGTGTGTGTGGCGTGCCGTCAGCTGTTACCTGTTTTGTAAATTGATTAACACTCTGCATCCCACTCCCCTCTCCCCCTGAGATACTTTTATTATCCTCTCCTTGGGGCAGCAACTCATCCCTACCCCAGAGTGGGAACGGCTCCCCCTTCTGGCCAAAAAAACATGGCTTCAGTATTAAAGGCACTAAATCTGATATCTGCCCCTTCAGCTTGGCTGTGAACCACCTCAGTGCAAGCTGGAGGCCATCAGCTGATGTGAAAGAAAAAAATGTTACACAGTATTGTTACTTTGTATCTTTGTTTACACTTGTACCCATTTTATTTTATTTAGAATTCAGATTCAGTGTTACCTTGGGAGATTCCTTTTGTCATCCATTCATTCTCTTCCACTTATCCTTATCAGGGTCGCGGGGGCTGTAGCCTACCCCAGCTACCATAGGGCAAGAGGCAGGTAGCCTAATGAAGGGCTAACACTCAGATTCAGTTTAGATTGACCCACTAACTGAATGTGTTTGGATTGTGGGAGGAAGCCAGAGGGAACCCAGGCAAGCACGGGAAGAACATGCAAACTTCACACATGTTTTAGTTTATTTAGAATCTTTTTCCTGACTTCAACTGAATCATTTTAACATCTCGAACAAATAAAGTATTGTTGTCTTTTCTTATCTTGTGCATACCAGCTGTTCTATTTGTTTTATCTGTCTTCAGATCAGATTGTGTGGATATCCTGACCCAGTGTGGAGATACAAAACGTTTCCACGAAGGACAAACACCAGAGAGGATCTGTGAGCTCCTGTCGCCCATTGATGACCCTGAACACTGCATCCCTCTCTACAGATACCTTAGTGAGTCAGGTTACTCCAGCGTTTGTTTGCATTATAGAGAAACAGGAGGGATCAGCTGTAAATGCAACAGATGCAGTCTTGTAATTCAATAACAAAAGATTTTAAAAATCAATTGAGTTTGCCACTAGAGGGCAGCAGAGCACAGATGCTCAGAAGCTGATGGATACAGTAATCCTACAATGTTGTTTTGAATAACATTTTAGCAAACACATTGCAGCTTGTAACACAGCAGACTTAAAGAAATATTAGCATCCTGATCCAATGCTCAGTGATTACAGTCACTAGTGTTTGACATTTTCTGTGTCGCTGTTTCCTGTTGCCACGGTAATGCACTGAAAACAAGAAACTGGGAGTTATTATCATCATCATCATTATTATTATTTTAATTATTGTTATTATTTGGCTGCACAATGGGAACATTAGCCAAGCTAATGGTGTAGTTCAGTTATTCTTAACAGAAATGATCGTGAAAGATGAACTGATGCTGCCTGTTAGTCAGCGTCTGTGCCCCTAACGCTACCAGCAGCCACGATGACTGAGTTGCTTTTTTTCTTTAATTACCTTCAGCTTAAGGCTAGTTTTGATGTGTTGCTTTATACAATAAAAAAGCATACACTGTACACATGCACAGTAGGATGTGCAGCAATTTCCTGTAGTTGTTTTGTCAGTCTTTGGCTCCTACTCCCAAATCATGGATGTTAGAGCTTCCAGTTCATGCCAAACATGGTCTCTAATAGTTTCAGCTTTTAATTTGAAGTTCATTTAGACCGTTTTTACAACAACAGTTACTGAATGATCTGATGAACAAGCACATGTGTCCTATTT